TACGACAAAGAACGTGTCCGAACCACCTCAGCCGTCTTTCTTGGATGGCCTAGGATATGCTTGTGGTGTTGTTGCAGCGAATGCGGAGGCTCGTTTTAGACGAAGTCGGTTTTTAATGCTTCTGGATGTTTACCGGCGACCATCGTTGCTTTAAGTGTTCTGTCGGCAGCCGCTTTGACAGAGGTATATTGCCAGCTCGTGTCTCCTCGTGACTGGAGGCTTCCCTATTTGCCCGAGGTCTGTGTCCTTGTTGCTCTGCTCTCGCGCTGACGTGAATGTCAAGCTAGGCTGAGAGTACCTCCTCGTTATTTGAGCTGATTCTGCAGTTGTATATATATAATTGCATCGGTACTTATGAAGTTCCTGCGCTGGTTTTTCCCCCATCTTCAATCAGCCCCTTCTAACACCAAAGTGCTGCTAGAGAAAATGTGCCCTCTTTTACATACATTCTTCTGCCCCCCCCTCGTGTATAGGCCTCCTGTCTGTCCAATCATCGCCGGTTCCACTGCGCAGGCGCCTCCGGACGACCCTGTCTCTTCTGCAAGCGAACCTTCCGCTCCTCCTCTTCCCTGCAAATGCATCTGCGCTGGAAGCATCGCACCGACGCTGCCGCAATGGTAGCCGCTGCGGTCACCGCCATGACAGGCAGTGAGTGGGAGGACGAGGAGGAGGAGGGAGCCTGCGAACCCACAGTCAGGAAGAAATCTCTGAGCAGTAGAGTTACCCCAGCGCCGCATGACAGTAAGATCCGTTTCCTGCCTGCTTGTTCCTCTCGTTTGCCCTCTCCTAACTATGCGATTTTAAATCTTCCCCCTTCGTAGTGGCCCTGCCGAACAATCACACTTTCTCCTCCACCAGCCTGGACACCAAGACCCCTTCAGATGGTCAACCTGTCAAGAGAACCCAGTCCGATTGTGCTACTGGCGTTGTCAGATCCAGTGATTACATTCGACGTAAATGGCGGCGAAAACCAAAGCCGAAGCAGGCCACACCGGGTTTGCTGTCGCCAAAGGAGGTACATAATTAATTTTTAACCTATAACCTAACTACTCATATGACGGTTAGTAGCTATAAATGATACACTTTATGCAGTTATGAGGGGGGGGGGTTAATTCACTTCATGAATGTTCTTATTTTTG